AGTTATGTTTTTTTAACATATATTTTATTGATTTTTTACAGAGACGAAGGGAGATGGATAGAGAGCTAGAAACATCAATGAGAGAGAAACATCGATCAGCTGCCTCCTGCACACTCCCCACTGGGGATGCGCCCGCAACCAAGGCACATGCCCCTGACCGGAATCGAACCTGAGACCCCTGAGTCCGCAGGCCGATGCTCCACCACTGAGCCAAACCAGTTCAGGCTGAAGTCTAAATTCTTTAGGATGACATCCAAGGGGGTCATGGGTTGGCCGCTACTTCTCTCTTCAGGTCTATCTCCTGTGCCTCCCCCTTCCTCTACTTCCCAAAACTCTAGTTTCACCCAATCTGTTTGGTGCTGAACACCCCAGCCTGCTGATTTACCCCCATCTTTTGCCTTCCTTATTCCCTCTGATCGGAATGTTTCCCCCCCATTTGGCCCAACTGTAAATACCCCTCACCTTTCAAGACCCAACTTGAGCCAAGGGAGCCTTGACCCTCAAGATGGAATGACCACTTCCTCTCTTGAGCCCCAACTGAACCCAACTGAACCTGTGGAGACTCCTACTGTAACTCTGATCAAACTCTATTTGCAAGTATTTATAAGTCAGCCCCCTCTGCCTACAATATATTCCTATGGACAGGAAAAGCTCACTTGTTTTCTTAGTTCATCAGCTTCTCGTTATATCCAATGAAGACTTGGCACATTGCTTCTGAAAGTCTGCCAATTTCTGCACTACCAATAGGGAGCCAGGGCAGATGCCTACTTGGAACCTTGATGGCCCCCAAAGTGTATTTACCAAGTCTGGCTACTTAAACAGGTGTCCCAAAGTCCTGAACAGGGAGGAGGTGCTTGTCTACTCAAAAGCCCTGGAAACAAAGCAAAACAAGGCACTGTGACTTAATCTAATTCTTCTTATCACCCTAGAGTTCAGCCATTGATTGTGGCACTTAGAGATAATGTATATTCCACCAGGGTGATTTCACTTTCCTCCTAGGAACTAAGGAAGACTGTGTTTCCTGAGCAACCTTGCAGGGCCTATGTGATTAAAGCTGACCTTTGGACTAGGAAGAAATGATGTTCATCACTTCCAGGCCTGGCCACAAAATCTCTCACATGGTCCTCCACCGTTTTTTCCCAATTTCCC